TTTGTAATTCTACATGAATATATACCATGAACAATGGTCTTATTCATGAAAAGTGGTATTCAAATCAAATTATACTTTACATGTAGTCAATTACTGTTATTTGTTGCAGTTATATTGTACGAAGTCACTAAAGCACCGAAATGGTGAATACTGAACTACTACTCCTAGGGTAAACACAGGGTTAAGGTCCTAATATTTTCATCAAATGACCAGGACATACCCTTGTTTTCTGAGTTTTGGTTTAAAGACACTTTACTTATTAACACTGAACTCCCGGCCACCAACACATTAACTCCTGCCTGTACAAAGCCCACCTAATATAAATGTCGCCTGCATTAGGGCATGTCACATCCTTCCTGCAGTCAGAACACTCAACGACATCTCAGCACAATGCTTGGGAACCATAAAATAGCAAAAGCACCAAAAGCAGAAAAAGCACAAAAATACCTCCAAAAAACCACATTTACAGTATGCAACCTGAGAACAAGACAGGGTGTCACCTCACTGGACCACAGCTTGAGGCAACTATTAAGTTTTCACCACTCCACATGTGTCCATGAATGAAAGTGACATGAGCACTGACTGCGGACTCACATATAAATTTCAGTACGCAAAATCACAAATGTTAAATCTATAAATAATGAAGACTGACACTACAGGGAAAACCCAATTAAACAAGTTTTATAAGCTAGGTTTGGTCATGCCTGCCTATAACCCCAGCCTCCATGGTAAGTTCAAGGTCACTCTGGACCTTCCAAGACTCTGTCTCAAATAAACAAACAAACATGTTAAGCATTTTAGTACTTCAGTAATTTTATAAATGTGGGGGTTACATATTGATGGTAAACAAGAATGTACAAAATTTTATGACACTGTCTTTAAACTGTCACCAAAAAAATCATACTGTGTTCTTGTAAAGTTTACAGATGAAGAATAAAAATGGAAAAATTATTTAAAATTTATTGCCCACCCTCTAAAAACAGTCAACAGGGAGAAAATACTATAAAAAGACATAGTAACTGTAATTTTATTTTATTTTATTTACTTTGGTTCTGGGGAATGAACCCAGGGTCTTGTGCATGCTAAGCACATGCTCTACCTCTAAGGTACACCTTCGGCCTTAAATACATAATTGTTCTTTTTTTTTTGGTACCAGGGATTGAACTCAGGACCTTGCACTTGTGAGGCAGGTGGCAGCAGCACTGAGCTAAATCCCAGGCCTAGCCTTAAATACATAATTGTTTATAAGTTCTCTGCCTCTAAAATCTCTTTGGGGGAAAAAATTAGACATGTTTGCCATCATTACACATTTTAAAAATTCATAAGGATAAAAGTACCCTGAAGGGCCAGGGATTTAGCTCAGTGATTCCACCACCTGCCTTGCAAGCTCAAGGTCCAGAGTTCCATACCTGGTACCAAAAAAAAAAAGTACCCTGAAGTATTAAAACAAAAAGCTTTTTTGTTTTGTTTTATTTTGTTGAGGTAGGGCCTTGTGTAGTTAGGCTGGCCTTGAGCTCACCTTCTCAAGGAAGCCCAGGCAAGCTTCCTGCTTCAGCCTCCCCAGTGCTGGTATTACATGCGTGCACTCAGACACCTACCTACAAAAAGATTTAAGATATAAGCCCAGTACTCTGAAGGCTAAGGCAGGAGGAACAAAAGTTTGAGTTCAACCTGGACTACTTAGCAAGGCCCTATCTCAAAGTAACAATTTTTTTAAAAGGCTAGGAGCCAGGCATGGTAGAATTTAAGCCCAGCCTGGGCAACACAGTGAATTCAAGGCCAGCCTATACTACATAGCAAGTCCCATCTACAAAAACCAACCAAACGGCGGCGGGGGGGGGGGGGGGGGGCGGGCACACACACTAGGAAAATAGCCCAGTGTAGAAGACTCTTGATTCAATCTTCTTTACTGAGGTTTGAGGGGTGGCAGGCATGAATAGTGAAAAGATAATTAGTGTAAACAAATAGAAATGAAAACCTAACATACATGTTTAAGCAAACTATCTTATAAAATAAGTTTAATTTTTCTAAACATCATCCATACAACCCTAATATGTGTCCAATTTGCATCACTATTCTCCGTAACACAATTTATATACATACTAAATATCATCTAATTACACTAACAGTTGAAATTTATGTTAGTGAAAATGAAAGCAAAACACAACAGGTTGGGGGCCGGGGATTTAGTTCAGTGGTTCCAAGGCCTGCCTCGCAAGCACAAGGTCCCAAGTTTGATCCCAAGTACAAAAAAAACCCAGGTTAATTAAGACCAAAAGAAAATTTGAAAGCTAAGATCAAAAATATAAAAACTACCATTTAACTCAGTATAAATTAAATGATTCCTATTACAAGTAAATGAAAGAGATTTCTATCACACAAAAAAAATAAAAACTACCAACATTTTTTTTCTTTTCAAATTTCAGATGATACTCATTGCAACATTATTTCTGATAGTGAAAAACAAGAAAAATTTATCTTTTAATAAAAGGCTCATTTAAATCATGGAATAGTACACAATCTTTAATAAGAAATGAGCTACCTGGGCAGTGCCCTACCTGAGTGAGGTCTGCAGTGACCCAGGGGAGGAGCGGTGCTGGAGACCCACATGGACATTCCTACACCGGCTTCTTTCTCCCACTGCAGCACCTTAGAAATTCTAATCTAACTGCAGTATGTGGGTCACATCCTCCCCTGGCCTAGTGAAGAATGGTTTTTTTACATTATGGAATGGTTGAAATCAAAACTCAGATCTCATGGCACATGAAAATTATGAAATCCAAGTGTTAGTCCTGCTGAGTCGCGTTGGGACCGCTCCAGTCATGCATTTGCTCACTGTCGGTGGCGGTGGCTTTCTCCCAGCAGTGAGCAGTGTCTTAGGAGGTGCAGAGAGACTGTCCAGCCCTCCAGATATTAACAGGCGGAACTGCAAGCCTGCTGTATTGAGTTCCTTTGTTAATAAAAGGAAACCCATTCTAAATATGAAAAAAAAAAAAACAAGAAATGAGCTAGACTATATCACACATGCACACATACAGATTTTATATAGATACAGAGATGGCGTTTAATTTAAAACAGGAGAGAGATATATAGACAAGAAATGATTTTTAGGGCCAGGGATTTAGCTCAGTGGCACCGTGCCTCCCTCGCAAGTGCAAGGTCCTTAGTCTGATCCCAGTACTGCAAAAAAAAAAAAAAAAAAAAAAAACCACAGACATCTGTATGATGGAGTAAAAAAAGAAAAATCACAATACTAAATACATGATTCCTTCTGTGAAAAACAAACATAATTTGCTTGTATATGTATAAACACTAAAAGTGCTAACAGGGCAGTAGCTTAGGCAATTTAATTTTTTACGATAAGTTTTATTAGTAGGTAGGTTCTTGATAAGTGCTATCTTTTCTTGTTATGGCCATTTTCAATTTGAAATAATATAAATTCATGTTATCTCCATTTATTGTGGTAAATTCTGCTAAACATAATTAAAAACAAACACTCCCCAGTTCCAAGATAGCATTTCAATATTCTCAAAAAATTCTCAAAAAATGTTCTCAACACTCAATCCCCAAAACTGAAATGTTTCATAATTTATGAAAGAAATCAACATTTTTTATAAGAGCCAAATAGTAAATATTTTAAGACTTTTGCAGGCACACATGGTCTCTGTTACATATTCTTTGCTTTTGTCTTTTATTTTTTTCTTGCAACTCTAAGAATATTTTTGAAAGTGTTTATTACTCAGGCCCACACAAAAACAGGCCACAACCCAGATTTAGCTTGCTGGCCATGGTTTTCTGACCACTGATTTATAACAAGAAATCAGTATTCATAAGGTGATATTATAAATATTTTACACCGAAGGCATCAAAGGTCATACAGGTTCAGTTTTATCCTATATTAAGTAAGGTGGTATTATTGCAAGCAAATACAAGTTGATACACTGAAGTGTGTGTGAGTGTGTGAGTGTGTGTGTGGTATTGGGAATTGAACCCTGGGGCCTTCATACTGAGTTACATCTCCAGATCATTTTATATTGAGACAAAGTTTCAGTAAGTTGCTTGGGCTAGTACAGAACTTGTGATCCTCCTGCATCAGCCTCCTAGAGTGCTGGGCTTACAGGTGTGCACCAAGCCCAGCTTATACACTGAATTCTATATGCTACACAAACTGACCAAAGGACTAGAAATGCAATTTCAAACATTCATATTATTTAACCATGATCATGTATCTGCCTGTAAAGCACATGTATTCACTGAAAAAGAATCAGCTGAAACTTAACTACACATCAAAGCTCAAATCTGCTTTTATGATAATTAAAACCATTCACAAATTCAAATACTCAAAACTAGTCTTTTGTTTCAGATATCATCAACCCCTGAAAATTAAGTATGGAATTTGGAAACCAGTAGTGATTTATTCGGTTTTAATTTTTAACTTATCAAGATTATTATAAAATACTAACAATCTAAAATATCCTATAAAATTTCAGTCTTGGAACCTCTTAGTATTTATTGTGTCAGAAGCCAATTACTTTTTTTTGTCTTTTGAGACAGGGTCTCACTATGCAGTTCAACCTGGCCTTGAACTCAGTATGCAGGCCAGGCTGGCCTCAAACTTGTGGTGATCCTGCTGCCTCAGCCTCCCAAGCACTGGGATAACAGGCATTTACCACCATGCCCAGCCACCAAGTAAGCAATTACTATGCCACTCTTCTTTCTCTTTAAAAGACAGCTTTTATTTATTTCAGTCTATCTAAAACTGAAAGATCCTCATCATCTGGATGCTATCATCAAATGTAAATTTCATTATGATATACTCTTTTTTTTTTGGTACTGGGGATCAAACTCGGGTCCTTCCGCCTGCAAGGCAGGCAGGCGGCAGAACCACTGAGCTAAATCCCCGGCCCTAAATTTCATTATGAATAACAAACTAGGTCAAATTAAAATCTAAAACAAGAATTCATCTTGTACACGTATCCAAACACTCATAAGAATCTTACCTAGACTGGTGGGCTTTATCAGTTCATCCAGTAAGTCATAAAATGGTAGTTTTTGAAGTTTTATATCCGGATGGACTGGGTGAAGAGCTGATGTAAGATGTGGGAGTTCCAGTTCATGTTTAGGTCCCAGAAGAGAAACGGGGAGTAATGGTGAAGATGCAGGGTGACCATCATAAGTGAGCTGTGGAATGGTAGATGGAGACAAAGTTGCTGGCATAGGACTTGAATGTACATTGGGGATAGACAAGTCCGCAGGCGTCATGATTTTCTGGGGGAACCGTCGCCTATAGAGTTCTTTAATTTTCATTTGTACAGCAGGACTACAGCCAGCCTTGAGTAAATGCAGGGCTTTTGTGAGAAGTTCGTGTTTGCGTCCGTGCTTGTTTCTCCCAGCGTAGCCCAACAATACTTGGAGTTCAGAAACTCTAAGGCTCATAACCATTTGCTTGGAGAAAAAAATAAAATGTAAAACATTAGTATTCAATAAAATACTGTGCAATATTAACCAATACTTTATTATAACCTCTCTACTTACAGACTGCTTAAATAAAGCCAGCTCATTTACAATCCTAATGACTTCAAATTTAAAATGTAATCACTGAGCTGGATGCGGTGGCAGCATGTGCCTTGTCGCCCCATCACCATGGTATACTAAGACGGGAGGACCATAAGTCCTTCCTGGGCAATTTAGCACAATCATGCTTCAAAATCAAATAGAAGAGGGCAGGGGGTATAGCTCAGTTCAAAGGCCATGGATTCAATCCTCAACACTGAAGAAGAAAAAAGGAAAAAATTAACCACTTTACCTAAAGAAATTTAAAATTAATGTTCCTAACTTCATTTGCCTTTCCCCCAGGATTACACAATGTATCAGATGAAGTGTACACCAGCAGGGCCATATCTCACTTCCTCTCACTGTTCTGAAGAGACTGCCAGCTACTCAGACATCACTTAGTCCCCAGGAGAGTGTGCTATGTGGGCAGCAAAGATGATAATGTGCCCTCACCAACAGTTTATAGTTTTCTTGGGGGAAAAATTATAAATATATACAAAACAAATAGCCCACCTCAAGCACCAGATGTAGGCAGGATGTTAATATCATCAAGTATTAGATTCTACACCAATTTTGGAATTTGTAGAACTTCAACTATACCTGTTCTGACCAATTACATATTAGATACTACATATAATGGGGCTGGGGATTTAGCTCAGTGGTTCCGCTGCCTGCCCTGCAAGGGCAAGGACCAGAGTTCGATCTCCGGTACCAAAAAAAAAAAAATAGATACTACATATATTTTCATGTGGGTTGTCACTTAAATCTTTATAACACAAGATGTTATCCTTTCTCCTTTACATATGAGAAGACTAGTTCAGAAAGATTAAATAACCTACTTAAGGCCACCAGCTAAGTAGCAGTCGGGATTCTAAAGCTCCTGCTCTTTCCACTAAACCATTAAGAAAGGGACAATGCTAGGGCCAGGGATTTAGCTCAATGACATCACACCTGCCTCGAAAACACAAGGTCCTGAGTTTGATGGCAGGAGAGGGGGATCAAAACTGTTCGGGCTGGGGAGTTAGTTCAGTGGTGCCACACCTGCCTCACAAGCACAAGGTCCCGAGTTCAATCCCCAGTACCAAAAAAAAAAAAAAAAAAAATCTATTTAACTTTGTTTAATCCTGTATTCACAAACTTATTTAGTCACTTTCTCCTCAAGCCCCCAACACTAAGAAGCTAACAATAGGAAATGCCTGTCTAATCCAGTCCTATTTTAAAGCATCAGAAAATGGAATCCAAAGAAAATAAATGACTTACCCTAGGTCACACAGCTATTAATGGCAAAATCCTAAAAATCTTCACTATCAGTGACAGGAAGTTTTAGGACGAGGAGACACACAAGAGCTTACCCATCCTCAAGTGTTGGATTCTTCTCCTCTTTACATCAAAGATATAAAGGCCTTTTTGCTACTTCTTTGGCCTGGAAAGCTCTTTTGTTTCCTCATGGTCAGGCTTTGTCAACTCTGCCTGACAGACTTACTTTTACTGGCCATTTTTCATGTTTTTATTTTAGTACTTATCCTGTTACATTATCATTTGCTGTTTACATATGTGATTCAATGACTAGACTGAGGTTCTCTAAGGCACATGTTATCCTCAGCATCTAGGACCAGGGCCTCCTGAAAATGGGAGAAACTTGCAAATGTCTGCACAATGAACAAATGAAGAAGAAAAGACATAACAAAGGAGGGGATAGGGATGGAATACAGTGATAAATTATGCAAATAAATGCCCAAACACAAGCTATGTTATGGAGAAATGCAAAGATGTAACATAGACTATAAAAAAATTCTACTTACTAACCCTAAAAATGTTTCTTTTTAGATGTTATCTGATTTTGTAAATAGTTACTAATTATGTCAGCAGTTTCTACCTATTCATGAAATATCATACAGGGTACAAAAGAGTTTTAGAGATGTCTTATCATTTATTTTAAAAGGAAGAGGGAACTGAAACAGAAATGCAGCATTACATTTAAAGTGTCTGCTTTTAAAGATATAACTCAAGTGGGGTATAGTGCCCAACACTCTAACCCCAGCTACTCAGGAGGCTGAGGCAAGTTTCAAGTTTGAAGACAGTCTGGGCAATGTGGCAAGAGCTTATCTCAAAATAAAACGGCTGAGGGCCGGGGATTTAGCTCAGTGGCAACTGTACCTGCCTTGCAAGCGCAAGGTCCTGAGTTCGATCCCTCATACAAAAAAAAAAAAAAAACGGCTGAAGATATGGCCCAGTGCTCTTTTAGTTCAAACACCAGTGAAGGGAGGGAGGAAAGAAGAGAAGAAAGAACTGGAAACTTCAAGGATTAGAGGTTAAAAATTAAGCTGGCATTGGTCAAATGTACTTTGTTTTACAAGGAAAAAATATACAGTATATAAAGGTGTATCCAACCTACAGCCCCCATGCAACCCTGAATAGCTAGTATAGGGCCCCACAAAATTGTAAACTTTAAACATTATGATGTGATTTTTAGCACTGTTCATGACTCAGTTGCACAGTCTGAGGAGGGACTACACAGGAGACATGGAAAGCTGCAGAAGGGGGACGCTGTGTGGCGCTAACTCACATCGGGCACCAGCACACAGTCGGAAGGAAACCCATGTAGAGCATCTCAGATGTCACTGGTGCTTGTGGGACTTGGCAGTTGAAACCCATCGATTACTGATAGTATTTTAACCTACTTACACTTGCACTTGCCTATGAACACAGATGTTTTTAAGACATGGAAGTTTTCTTCAACTTGTGTTATTTTGTAAAATAATTTGTTAAAATAATTTTTAGCAGCTGTGGTACATATTAAGTACAAAAATGTATCATAGTGTACTCCTGTAATGCCTACAACCAGGAGCCTGAAGCAAGAGGAGTACTACAAATCCCGAATCCGTGAGTCCAGCCTGGGTTACAGAGCGAGACTGTCTCAAAAAAACCAAAAAATAAACTAATGAAAAAGCTTTTTGTTCATGATATCATTATAATTACACATACAATATTGGTAATACTAGAAAATAAATGCCTTTGGTAAATTTTCATTCCAGCATGGCTTCAACATTGTCTCAAAAGAAAACAGAGCCCAAATAAAGAAAAATTATGGACGAAGGGAGTGTCCAATGATAAATGGACAGATGAGTCTTCTTTATTGTCAAGACAAATAAAAGCACTATACTTCTTTTGTAGGAAAACTGTCAGTTTTCAAACATTACAAGTTGAAAAGACGTTATATCCAAAAACACGCTGCCAAACTTGATGCATATCAAGTAATGTTTTGTAAAGACAAAATAGCAGAATTGAAAAAAAAAGTCTGTCACCTCTACAAACTGTTTTAAGTTATAATTCAAATGGACTCTTATAAAACTTAATGTGATAGCAAATCTGATTGCAAATAAAAGTCAAAATGATTTACCAATGCTTTCCATTATTATTAACCAATGTATAGAAAGCAATTTGTCCTGGTAATACTTTTCCAAAATCAGTTTGTCTCATCATACTATAGTCAGGCAAACTGATGAAACTGAAAAAAATCTATCAAAAGAGATTTGGAAAATAAAGGTGTTACTTTCAAATTTTATCCATATGGCTCAACCTGCCAGTATTGCTAAAAGTACTGATAACAAATACAGTGTCACTGAAGAAAAGGTTTCTCTGGTGCCATTAAAAGATACAACTAAGGGTCAGGGATTTAGCTCAGTGGCACCATGCCTGCCTCGCAAGCACAAGGTCCTGAGTTTGATCCCCAGTACACAAGAAAAGATACAACTAATCTGCTTTATATGAAGCAGTAGAAATTAATTAAAATGATTTTCTTTAACTTCTGTCAATGTATCTGTCTGGTACAGCTACAGATGGCACCCCAACCATGGCTGGTAAAGAAGAGGGCCTTACAAAACTAGTGGGAGATGATGCAATTGCCACTGGCAACTCACATTTAAGGAGATAATCACTACATCATAAACCAAGAAAATTTATTTGCAAAAGCTTTAAAATGTTGTGCAAATCTCAACCAAGGCTGGAAACTTTATAATATCCGAGGGATTGAATCATCACGAATTCCGAGAGTTCCTTGAAAGTATGGATGCTGAGTATGGGGACATCATTTACTTTTCAGAAGGTGGCTAAATCAAAATAAAACGTCAAGGGCCAGGGATTTAGCTCAGTGGTTCCGCCACCTGCCTCGCAAGCACAAGGTCCCGAGTTCAATCCCCGGTACCAAAAAAAAAAAAGTAAAATAAAATAAAATGTCAAGAAGATTTTATGATTTGCTAAATGAAATGAAGTCATTTATGAAATCAAAAGGCAAATCTGTGCCAAGACTTGAAGATGAAATATGGCTCACAGATTTAATATTTTTGGTGTACTGTATTTGACTGTTCATTTAAAAAAATTAAACATGAATTTTTCAAGGTGAAATGTCAACATATCTATGCTATGTTTCAAACAATAATATTCAAAATATAACAATATGAAAAAAATTTTTAAAAATATAACAATATGGCAAGATCAATTATAGCAAATAACTACATACATTTTGATACATTGGCTAATCACAGTTCTGTAAACAGTGAAAAAAAAAATGGAGTCTTGTCTTCTGTGGGGTTTGTTTGTTCAGTTGGTTGGTTGTTTTTTTGAGCCAGGGTCTTGCTATGTACTGTAATTCAGCCTGGCCTTGAACTCACTATGTAGCCCAGACTGGACTCAAGCTTGAGGCAATCCTCTTGCCTCAGCCTCTGAAGGCTACAATTACAGGCGTGCACCAAAATGTCCAGCTTTGCTTTCTGTTTTGATAAAGAAATTTGAGAACAAGTTTCAAGATTTTTGAAAAACAATCATCAATTTTTTAGTATAACTTTAACTCCATTCCAGCCAACAGAAACATATTCCGGGTGAATTTTCAATGG